ATCTTGGCCAGCCCCTTAAGTTACGGTAACTGGCTTCTGCTTGGACGATTAATGACGCATCCCTTGTTTACTTCAGGGATTATCTGAAGTGTCCGGGGGCAGCCAAAAGGTCAGCGGTATTCAGTCTTCCCCAAAGGACCACACGCCTTCCCTTACGGACACTGAGGCACTGACGGCAAGGCCTCACCACCAGCCACTGAAGGCCTGGACCCCTCATGCGGAGATGATTCCCTCAGCCTCACTCAACGCCAGAAAACCCAATTCCCTCAACAGCTGGGCTGCTACCTCCAAAGGGGGAGGTGGGCAAGGGAAAGGGTATTTCTGCATTATTTTGCTGTTTACAAAACAGAAAGGAAAATGTTCTTCTCTGGTTCGGCTCTCATCTGAGCTTTCACTCACTCAGACCGAGCATCTAATGAAGTAGGTTGTTGCCTGGGAAAATCCTCAAGCCATTTTTTTTTTTTTTAAATGCTGGTTCATAGCCTCAAGGTGTCATTAAATGCATTTCTCTTCAAGCTACATCTTTTTGTCAGGAATTCTTTAGCCGCGATTCCTGGGGGCTGGATGGCCCTTTGGGGGGGGGGTCCTTTCCAATTCTGCAATTCTACGGTTCTTCCCTGCTCCATGTGTCTGGTTGGAGCTGTTCTGTTGAGAGATTTGGGGGCCAAGACAAAAGAAAGGAGTGCTTCACATACAGAACAGAGTTAAAAATATGAAACTCCTTAGCTCAAGAGGCTGAGATGGCCACCAATTTGGATGGCTTTAAAAGAGGATCAGACAAATTTATGGAGGATAAGGCAATGGATGATTGCTAGTCACAATACAGTGGTACCTCGGGTTACATACGCTTCAGGTTACATACGCTATAGGTTACACACTCCGCTAACCCAGAAATAGTGCTTCAGGTTAAGAACTTTGCTTCAGGATAAGAACAGAAATTGGGCTCTGGTGGCGTGGCGGCAGCAGGAGGCCCCATTCGCTAAAGTGGTGCTTCAGGTTAAGAACAGTTTCAGGTTAAGAACAGACCTCCGGAACGAATTAAGTACTTAACCTGAGGTACCACTGTAGTATGTTCTTCCTATACCTGATATATCTAAATACCCCAGTTGCTGGGAGTTATTATGTCCTGCAAGGTGCTCAAAGTGGTTCTCCCTCTCCTCATTTAATCCCCATAACCATTCTGTGAGGTTGGCTGGCCCGAGAGAGGCAGGGCCTGGCCCAAGGTCAGCTTCCTGGCTGAGTGGGGATTCAAACCCTGGTCTCCCAGGTCCTAGTCCGACACTCCAGTTACACCACACTGGCTCAGTTGAAGGCCGAGCCCTCTCTCTCTCTCTTTCTCGCGTGTGTCCAGCAACCATGAGGGGGGAAAGAGAGATCCCTAGGTTAGGGCTGTTGTCTTCTAAGATAAGAAGCTGGATTTGGGTGATTTTGGCCCCATGACAAATCGCTCCTCTTTGTCGGATCAACAACAGCCGGAGCACTTAAATCATGACCCGACTGCTAATGACGTGATTAATGAGGACGGAGGCTAATGAGACTAAGAGCGAGGAGACAAGAGCAAAGAACAGGAGTTATTAGTCCACCAGCAGCGCGGAGCCTGGGGGCTGCCCCCTCCCTGTTGCTCGCAGGCGTCAGTTTCTCAGCAAGAGAGATTAAGCTTAGGGGTCTGGCGGGGGGGGGGGGGAGAGAGAAACATGGCTCCATCAACACCCACAGATCTGCTCCCACGAAATGAATTATTTGGGTCTCTGGCATAGAGGGGAATCTGGAGCTGGAGAGGCGTCAAGACGTCACGTCACTGGCCGTAATGTCAACAGGGTGAAGGAGACGAGAAGAGCAGCTCGTGGCATCAGGAAGAGGCCTCAGGCCTGCCCAGTGGGGTTGCCCTGGGCTCCACGCCAGAGACCAGGAGCGGGGCTCACGTGGAAGCCAAAGGCTCTGCTATCAAAAGCAGGAAATCCCTTGCTGTAACAGACACCGTGTCATAGGCTGCTTTCAACGTTTTACGTACGCATCTGGGTATGGTGGAGTTGTCACAACAGGGCCGGACAGATCTGTTTCCGTTTTTCTCTGAATTGCAGTCTGAAATATACTACGCCACGCTTATGCATCACAGAATCCTAAGGGACCCCAAGAATCAACTAGTCCAACCCCTGCAATGCCGCTGTCCCACACGGGGATCGAACCTGCAGCCTTGATGTCATCAGCACCAGGATCTAACCAACTGAGCTATCCAGTTGGTTAGTCGGCGAATTCTCTCAAAAACCCTTACAAGAAGCATTCCGGATAAAGCCATCCGGACATAAGAATGCAAAATGGGCCTGGATGCTGGATGAGGCCAAAGGGGGCCTGTCTAGTCCTGCCTCCTGTTCCCACAGTGGCTGGACCTGAGCCCCACAGCAGCGCTTTCTCCCCACATGCAGTTCTCAGCAGCTGATGCTAAGCGCATTATTGCCTCCTGAATACCAACAAAGTATTAAAATACAGTGGTCTGTTAAACATTAAAAGCTTCCCTACAGAGGGCTGCCTTCAGATGTCTTCTAAAAGTCTGGTAGTTGTTCTCTTTGACATCTGATGGGAGGGCGTTCCACAGGGCAGGTGCCACCACCGAGAAGGCCCTCTGCCTGGTGGCAGAGGCAGTGAGGGCAGCCAAACTGGATGGCTTTGCAAGAGGATCAGACAAATTCATGGCTCTGCTCTGCCTCCACAGTTGAAGGCTGTGATGCTTCTGAATCCCATCTGCTGGAAACCACAGGCATCTGGTCGGCCATGTTGAATGGTTTCTTTAAATATTAAGGTTCATTATTGTTTCACAAGATGTGTGTCTCTTTAAAGGCCAGAGCAAATATCATGACCTAGTTTTACAGCTGTGAAGCAGTATAGCAGGTGCTGTTAAAAGTTGTGTTAATTAAGCTGTGTCAGCAATTGGGTATAGTATATAAAGAACACATAACTGACAATGTTTCCCGTTTTTAAAGGGAAATTCCCTTATTCCAAATAGGATTCCTCGCAAGAAAAGGGAAAAGTTGACAGCTATGAAAGAGCAGTGTGTACCTCTCTCAGTACCCTGGTGAATGGATGGGTCATACGTATAGATTTAATGTAAGAGGAGTTTTTGTTTTCGTAATTAAAGCCAAGCAAAATATATTTTTGCCTTTCTTCATTGTTTCCTGAATGTGTGGTCTCCCCAGCACGCTTTCTGCAGCACAATTAATCTGCTAAATACGCATCAGGCCACTGTGAGAGCAGGGTGCTTGGCTAGATGGGCACAGGCCTGATCCAGCGGCTCTTCTCCTGGTTTGATGTTCTTAAAATGAACAAGTCCGTCAGCTCGCTTTGGGGGAATGCATAAGCTGCCCAGCACAACGCCCCTCCTCATGGGCTCAGTGCTCCCCCTAACAGCCACCCCCACCTCCTCACAGAGAGCTTTGTCCTGCCAAGGGAAGAAGGCAAACGTGTGGCGTTTGTTTGATGCTCTGAAGATAACAGAGGCAGGAAGAGAAAGATCTATAAAATAAATGCCTCGCTGAAGTTTCGGCCAACAATTACAGATGCCGCCGCCTTGTTAGAGAGGGTTGGGCAGCTGCCGCAGGAACCGCAGGGATCCCTCCGAGAGCCAAAATTAAAAATAAACCAAAGGAATTCTGCTGTCCTTTGAACCAAGGGGACGTGTGTGTGTGTGTGTGTGTGTGTGTGTGTGTGTATGTGTGTTTTGGACTGGAGAGGTGGGTGGTTGTTTTTTGAAGCGAGAGACGAAGGGCGCTTTCCAGATTGTCGGTATTTTGGGGCAGGATTCAATCACACGCTGGCAAGTTTGTGTCGCGCAGTTGCTGCTGATCGGGAGGTCTTGCGCAACAAACCTGCTCCCCCCGCACTAAAAGCAACCAAAACCACCGGACGCTTGGATAGGCGCTTGCTTTGAGGCAAGGTCTCATCTAAGTTCCCCGCAGAGTTATGGGAACACATGCCTCCTTAAATAGGTGCCTGATCTCTGTGCAAAGAAGTCAGGGTGCGTGGGCAGGAAACAGGCCAGGCACTAGGAATCTGTCAGGGATTCTTCAGTTGAGATTCCTGCACTGTGGGGGGTTGGACTAGATGACCCCTGGGATCCCTTCCAGCTCTACTGTGATTCTAAACCTTCATTCCAAGTAAGCACAGCAACGAACGAGGCCAGCAGTGTCCTGCCTCGTCTGCTCCGAGACAGGGCACTCTACGGCGCAGCCTGCAAAATGTGTTGAAATGCATTAATTTCAAAATGCTGCTTTAAACAGGCAGGCTGATGACCCACTGTAAACTTGGGGGAAGGAGCCAAACTGTTGTAGTGGAGTGATTGGGAACCCCTGATTTGAATGCAGAAGGTCCCAGGTTCAAACAGCAGTGGGGCAGGGCTAGGAATTACTCCCTGCCGGAAGCCCTGGAGCTGCCAGTCAGTGTGGGCACTGCTGAGCTAGTTGGCCCAGAGCCTCACTTGCTGCCAGGGCGTAATCCACATTTATCTTTTGCCTTGCTCTTTCCAAGCACAAGGTCTGTGCTTAAAAGCTCTGCGTCCGAGAGTGGGTTTTTTTCCATAGCTCCCTGGCAGAGCATGCATGCAGAGAGTCTTGGGAGAGAACTCCTGTTGGGAAGCCCTGGAGAGCCGCTGCCAGCCAGTGTCGACAATACCAAGCTGGTTGGATCAAGGGTGTGACTACGGCAGCTTCCTACATAAACCAGCTTTTAATTCAGAATCATGAGGACGGGAAACTTGATTTTTAGCATCCCATGTTGCCAAGGGAATTGGCGTTTGCTGGAGAAGAGGGTGCACATATTGAGTGAGGAGCAAAGGGAAATATACTCCATCCCACCCCCTCAAATGCTGGCTCTTGTTTTTATGTACTATTGTGAGCACCCAGAAGGAAAGTGCTTGCCTGCTGCCACAGTGGTGCTTTCGGGCAAAATGATCCCTTTGTGACAAGCAAGCAACTCAGCCACACACGCAAGCAAGCCGCCCGTTTACTTACTGGGTACCCCTCTGTTTTCTTCTGACACCATTTCAGCAGGGCGTTCCTCTTGGAGCCGCCGTACTCCCTCGCCAAAGCGGCCAAAGGGTCCTTCCTCTCCACGCTGGAACCAGGAAGAGGAAAAAGTTTTGTTAACGATCCTCCCCTGTTACTCCGCTTGGACTGCTCCGCTCTGAAAAGGGGCCAGGGATGGCTGCCATCCCCATGTGCCCCCCACACCGAAAAACACACGCCATACACTCAACCTGGCAGAAATGGCACCAATGTTGGGGAACTGGTGGCCAATTTATGCATTTGCTATAAGGAAAACGCACAGAGAGGGGAAATGTGGCAGGTTCCTATTTTAGCCAGCTGTGCCCTCTTTGGGAGAGTCCATCATGCCCTCCCCGTCCCCAAAATGGCCATGCCCGCCACTGCGCATACACAGTCCTATGGCAGTGTGGGCCATCTGCTTTGCACTTTATGATTTGGTGGCTTTTTAATAGCTTTATGCATTAAAAATAAACAAATAGGTGCCACTAGGTGTTGAACAGGTGACATCTGAGTTGAGGCTGCATAGCTCGATCGGTAGAGCATGAGGCTCTTAATCTCAGGGCTGTGGGTTCAAGCCCCACGTGGTGTGAAAGATTCTTGCATTTCAAGAGGTTGGGCTAGATGACGGCACGCATGAGAGGCACTGGCTCAGTGGCAGAGCACCGGCACTACATGCCAGATGTCCCCAGTTCAGTCCCTGGCAGCCTCTCTAGGCACGGCTGGGGGGGAAACCCGGCCTGAAACCCTGGGGGCCTCTGCCAGCCAGTGTAGGCAATATAGGGCCTAATGGCCTGGCTCAGGCAAAGGCCGCCTCCATTCCCCCCTTCCTTTCTCTCTTTCAGCTCAGCTTCCGTCTCGCTTACCTGAGCTTGCTGGGGGGTTTCAGGCCACTGTGGGTGGAGGTGAGCATCCTGCCGGAGAAGGACATGGAGGGCGGTTTGCTCAGGGACTCCAGCGAGGGGCTTTTGCGGAGAAAGTGGTCTGGCTTCAGGTCCTCACTTCTCCCTTTCAGCAAGTCTTGGCGGGGAGAGGAGAGAGACAAGGAACCGTCATTTGCAGACATGATGCCTCTTTGGGGTGGGGTGGGGGCTGCTGGTGTATGCCTGGCGGCAGGGCTCTCCTTCCTTGTTTAAGCAGAGGGCCACCTGCTGGGGGTTCTTTGTGACTCCTGCCTTGGGGGGTCACTTCCCACTACAATTCTGTGACTCTATGACAGGGGTCAGCAACCTTTTTCAGCCGTGGGCCGGGCCACCGTCCCTCAGACCTTGTGGGGGGCCGGACTATATTTTGAGAAAAATATATGAACGAATTCCTATGCCCCACAAATAACCCAGAGATGCATTTTAAATAAAAGCACACATTCTACTCAGGTAAAAACACGCTGATTCCTGGACTGTCCGTGGGCCGGATTGAGAAGGCGATTGGGCCGCATCCGGCCCCCAGGCCTTGGGTTGCCTACCCAAGTTCTACGAGCTGATTTCAAGAACACTCCTATGTCCTCCACACACACACACCCTGCAAAGAGGAGGGTCTCCCTCCAAACAGCCCCCACCACTCAGGGCTTTGGCGCATAGAGCAAACACTCATCATGTGTGAACCCAAGCTTGCCTTTTCCTGCTCAGAGAGAACCCCTTTTCTACAGCAAAGAAGTAAACGCAGAGAAATGTTTTCTTCTGCTGCTGCAAAGCTTAGCCGTAAGCTTTCTCTATCTCACACACTTTTTGCCGTGCCGGCTGGGGTCTGATGGAAGTTGCAGCGCAGAACGCCTGGCGGGCACCAGGTGGGCGGTGGCTGGCCTTGCAGCAAGGGCTGCAGGAGGGAAGTGAAGACCACGCAACGTTCAGGCCCAGGGGGGGGGGCTTGAGTTTGCAATACAGGAAGCAACGACTGAGGAGCATTAGATTAGAGGACTTAACAAAAGGACGTCACACATCCTGCTGTCTTATGGCTGTTCCAGTAAACAGGAGTCCCCCCACCTCTGCCCACCCCACGAGAGATCCCTGGCTCAGATCCTCCCCGGCCATTTACTCCACGGCTGCAGCAAGGAGACGCCTGCGGTCTCCCTCTGCTCCTCCTCTGCTGTGTCTGACTATCTGCTCAATTAAGGTAATGGCTGTTCTGCAACTGCAGGAAGATCCAGGAAACGGCACCCTTTTTAATGACCCTCGTGGCAGCTCTGGAGAAAAAAGTCTCCCCTGCACGTAGAGCAAGGCACCTTCCTTTTTTTTTCTTCCCCAGGTTCTTTGGTTCCTCATTTTAAAAAGCTGCTTCTCTAAAAAAGCAACCAATGCCCTCCCGAGGAAAACTGGGCGTGCGGAGATCCGCTGGAGGGATTGGTTGCTGCCAGTGCCGTTGGACAAGGGGCAGAGGGGAAGTGGACAATACTGACATAGGTGGGCCGGTTGTGTAAGTCAGTGTAAAAACCACGAGGGTAAGAACGACGTCACAAGAGCAGCGGGCAGAGGAGGCCCGTCTAGTCCACGATGGCCAACCAGATGCCACAGCAGGAATCCCCGGAAGCTGAGCCTGAGTGCAGCAGCAACTCCTTCCCAGCTTGCGATTCCCCAGTATACTGCCTCCAAGAGGGGAGGTAGCACATTGCCATCGCGGCTAGCAGCCAGCCACAGCTTCATCCTCCACCGTGAATTTGCGATTCTATGATTCTAAACCTCTTTCAAAGCGACCCAGGTTGGTGGGCCAAGCTGCCTCGGGTGGGAGAAACCGGACACCCGCAAGGAACAGCCCCCACAAGCAGGGCCTGGGCGCAACAGCACTCTCCGCACTCTGGTGACTCCTAACAACTGGGATTTAGAGGCATTAATGCCTTCGAGAGTGAAGGTAGAATATACTGTAGCCATTGGGGGGAGTGTCTAAGTAAAATAGGAGTTCCTGCAAACCAGAAGTCTGCCAGTCCTGCCATGAAGTTGGAGACAGGCAACGAATAATCTGCATGTGATTGCGCATTCCCACAGGGCGCCGGACCCCAAAGTGACCCTAAAATGTCACTAGAAGGGAAGAATGGGGGCAGGGCGGGGCGGGACACTTTACAAGGGTCCTGCCGACGTTCATGGGGTCTGAAACATAACCCCTGGGGGGCAGAAAGGATTGCCTGTAATCCCCCGCATGTTCACTCAAAAATGGAGAATCTTGCTGCTGCCTGTAAGAGTGGATCGATCCCTCATACTGACGGCTGCAGTCTCCTAGTTAGAAAAGAAGAAGAGATTCACAACGCAATAAGGTGGGGAGCCTGTGGTCCTCTACAGGGCTTCTCGGCCTCCACATCCCATCAGCCCTGACTTAGGTAACCGGGAGAGGAACTCATTTGCACTCAGAAAAGATCACTCATAAAATCAGCAGAACGTCCCAATGGCACTCGGTGGGACTTGATAAGAAACGCTTCAGCTACAGGGCTGCAAGGTTCTCTTTCCGCACTGCAAAAAGAGATACGCGACTCTTAATCGCAAATTACTTGCAAGCTTGTTCCGCCCAGACATATGTATGCATTTTGGCCTGCGACTCTATTCGGTTTTAAGATTCGTCATTTGTTGACCTACGACTCTGAATAAATGAATAAAATGACTTTTCTTTTATCCGCCCTGAGTCTTCCAACATTCGGCCTCATTAGCTGTCCCCCTAAATCCCAGCGTTACCAAAGAGTGTGTGGCCGGCCGGCCTTTGCGCTGTCAGTGCCTTTTGAGGCTGATGCTCTTTTCAGCAGATGACACCCACACAACGCAGGGGATTCAAATGTCTTTGGACAAGGGGAGCTTGGGCTGCTGTCAGATCGCTGAAGAACCCCACGGGCTAATGCTGTTCTCTCAAAAGGAGCCGGGAGGCGCTGGGGGTGGGGAAGCGCCCCCCCCCATACAAACGCAGCCTGGGAGGGTGGCTGGCTGTGACTCATCCTTCCGAGCCACAGCACTGCCTGACGGGCATCGAGGGAGGGAAAGCGCAGAGAAAAAGGAAGGAACTGCGCGGGGAGGGAGTCTAAGCGCCCCTGATCATGTCAGGCTCAAAACCAGTCGCCCATCTCAGTGGCAAGAGGTGGGACACACACACACACACACAAACACACACACACACACACACACACACACACACACAGAGTAACAACTAAGAAAGTCGGCCCCTCTACTCTGGCTGGGGCTGGCAGGGTGGAAAACAGGGAGCTGAACAGTAGGTGGCGCCAGAACCAATGGCAGGTGGAGGCAATTGGCTCTCATTTTGCACCCAGCATCCTCCTTAATAATAATAATAATAATAAATTTTATTTATACCCCGCCCTCCCCAGCCAAGACCTGGCTCAGGGCGGCTAACACCAGATATAAAACATTTGATTGAAATACAACTTTAAAAAGATTAAAATACAACATTAAAATGCAGCCTCATTTCAGCAGAAACTCAAAAACTTTTTTGGGGATGAAAACGTCAAGTCTTCACCAAGGCTAACTATCCAGACTGGTCATACGTAGGCCAGAAAAAAAGCCAGGGAAGTCCCCAAATAGGAATTCCATCACAGAAGGAGAAAGGAAAAAAGAAAGAGGGGGAGGGAATCAGATTGGCTCCAAGCCAAAGGCCAGGCGGAACAACTCTGTCTTACAGGCCCTGCGGAAAGAAATCAGATCCCACAGGGCCCTGGTCTCATGAGACAGAGCGTTCCACCAGGCCGGGGCCAGTGTTGAGAAGGCTCTGGCTGAGGCTAATCTGACTTCCTTAGGGCCTGGGACCACTAGGGTGTTGCTATTTATGGACCTTAAGGTCCTCCGTGGGGCAGACCGGGAGAGGCGGTCTCGTAGGTACGAGGGTCCTAGGCCGTGATGGGTTCTGCAAGGAGAAACACTGAGATAGAGAAGGAAGCCACCCCCCTGAGCTGGTTGCGAGTAGAAAGGCAGGGCGATTGGGGCTGGTTGAAGGTAGGTTGGTGGGGAACTGGCCCGTGGTAGCACCTGATTTTAGAAGGTGGAGGTGTTGCATCCAGAAGGCCTTGCTTGCTCTTCTTACAACTCACCTGCCAAGGGAAGCTCTGGAAGATCAGCGTGCTTGGAAAATGCCTTTCCAGAGGGCTTTGGGTTGCTGAAGGTGGAGTGTCTCTGCAACCAAAAGAGAGAGAGAAACGACCACAGAATTTAGCCGGTTACACGGCTGGTTAAACCACACATCTGCAAAGACAGAAGGTATGTACCCCCAGGAGAAGAAAGCTCCCATCTGGTTGCTGTCAAGTCACATTCAGCCAATTTCTGCTCTGAATCGGGAGGTGGGGGAGAATATGCCCCCAGGGATATGTGTGGGGCTTGTTTCATGGAAACACAGAACAGGCACAGAGGGGTGATTGGGGGGAGGGATGGAGAGCCTCCCTTCTGGGGAAAGGTTGCAGCATTTGGCGCTTTTTAGTGTAAAGAAGAGGCAAGTGAGAGGGGACATGAGAGAAGTTGGCAAAATTATGCCCAGCACAGAGAAAGTGAAGAGAGGAAAGCTTTTCTCTCTGCCCTAACACGAGAACATCACTGGACACCCATTGAAGCTGGATGTTGGGAGGTTCAGGACAGATAATAATAAAATAATAATAATAAAATTATTATTATTATTATTATTATTATTATTATTATTATTATTATTTATACCCCGCCCATCTGGCTGGGCTTCCCCAGCCACTCTGGGCAGCTTCCAACAAAATATTCAAATACCGTAATGAATCAAACATTAAAAGCTTTCCTAAACAGGGCTGCCTTCAGATGTCTTCTAAAAGACTTCTTCACACAGATTCATGGAGGAGAAGGGCCATCAGTGATGATGGCTACACTCTGCCTCCACGGTTGGAGGCAGCCATGCTTCTGAATACCAATTGCTGGAATCCGCAGGAGGGGGAGAGGGCTCTTGAACTCAGGACCTGCTTGCTGGTTTCCCATGAAGAGCACCTGGTCGGCCAAGGTGAGAGAGAGCAGGATGCTGGACTAGAGAGATGGGCCACTGGTCTAAACCAGCCGCCGGGCCACTGATCTTGTCTGGCTGCACAAAAATGTTAAAAAAACAAAAACAGAACCAAAAACCTCACAAGGCCTTTTGAAAACAACTCCTGCACATCACACGAGTCATTTTTCCTTTTTTCCCCCTAGGCAGAGAATTTGGATTCCCTCAGGATTCTAGTTTCCTGTCTTGTTTGAAAACTGGATGATAGCCAGTCCAGTGTGCGCCTTGATAGACCCCAATTGTTATTATTATTAACTGTGCCTGGATAGCTCAGTTGGTTAGAGTGTGGTGCTGGTAACACCAAGGTTGCAGGTTCAATCTGCATATGAGACAGTTGCATATATCCCGCATCGCAGGGGGTTGGACTTGATGATCCTCAGGGTGCCTTCCAACTCTATGATTTATTATTTTATTTTATTTGTTATTAAATTTGTAAAGCGCCCTATACCCGTAGATCCCACCTTGGTGTCCCACCTTTTCCTCCAGGGAGCTCAAGGTGGCATACATGGGTCTCCCTCTCCTCTATTACTCCCTGGAAAAGACCCTGATGTTGGGAAAGATGGAGGGCGCAAGGAGAAGGGGATGGCAGAGGACGAGATGGTGGGACAGTATTCTCGAAGCTACCAGCATGAGTTTGACCAAACTGCAGGAGGCAGTGGAAGACAGGAGTGCCTGGCGTGCTCTGGTCCAGGGGGTCACGAAGAGTCGGACACGACTAAACAACAACAACTCCTCTATTAACCCCCACAACAACCCTGCGAGGTAGGTGAGGCTGAGAGGCAGGCAGTGTTCCAAGATCACCACCAGTGAAAGTTTCGTGGCCGAGTGGGGATTTGAACCCTCGTGTCCTGCATCCGGCACTCTTAAGCACTGCACCACAGTGGCTTGCGTGGTCTGAAGCCCCTCCAAACTGAAGCAGAAGAGCTCCTTTCGGGGTTATCCTCACGCTGGGCATCAGCCAGCATCCTGGGTGTGCTGCAGATATGGCAGGCGGACGAAAAGGGAGAGGAGCTGGTCCCTTGCAGCTTCCTGGGGCTGCCTCTGCAAAAAAATGCAGCCACAAAACTGGGCGGTGGCACCAGCTCGAATGGAGCACCTGTCTTGGGTGGGGTGGAAGGGAGTCTCCCCTCCTGCTTCCACTGTTTCATAAATCACCAGTTCCTGCAGATGGACCACTCTGGAAAACACCACCCTAAGCTAGTTGTTATATCACCCCAGGTGTTCAGGGATGGGCAGACGATTCCCTGAAGAGGGAGAGGGCAGCAAGGGAGAGGGGAGGGTGTGCCTCTGCATGATCACCTGAGGATGAGCAGTTAGTAAAGAAAGAACAGAAACACGGAGGGCAGGGAGAACACAGAGTGTCTGCAGGAGGTCACCGATCTTAATCGCGTGTCAGGAGAGGCAGGGCAAAGGGCCGCAGCCCAGCAGTGGAGCATTTGCATTAGATGAAGACAGCGCTGCAGATTCGATCCCCGGCAACTCTGGGCAAGGGCTGGGAAAGAGACTCCCTGTCTGAAGCCCTGGAAAGCTGCTGCCAGTCAGTGCAGGCAATACTGAGGTGGATGGATCAATGGTATAAGGCAGCTTCCTGGGGTCCGACTAATCTTTCCCTTCCATCTCAGCTAAACCTAAAGAAACTCTGCTAAACTTTAACTCAGAAGGAGGAGGACGGGGATCTCACTTTATTTTTTTAGGGGAAGAGACGCAACTCAGGGGCTGCCTGCCCCAACACATGCAATGTTCATCCCAGCATTTATCTGCCTGAGTCTGTACAAAACTCGATTGAAGAAACAAACCTGAAGGAACTCAAACGTTTAAAACTTTTTTAAAAACCATGTGGGTGGGAGGATTTTCAAAAAAGGTCAGATTGGAAATAGATTTAGAGTTGAAAACTGAACCCACCTCCCCACTGCATTTCAGGGGGTTTGACTAGATGACTCTTCGGGCCCCTTTGAACGGAGGGGACTTTGGCTCTTGGCCTGGCTCTCTCTTCGCGACTTCTACATATCTCTCTGCACGCGCCCCAAGGTTTTGGCCCCTGCCCTCCCCATCACCGCCCACGCCCTCAGCATTTATTGTTTATTAGGGCTCTGGGGAGCAGGGCGGGGGGAGATCAAAACCAGATCGTTGTTATTATTTGGAAGACGGCCCCAAAAGTGACCTCCGCTGCTGGATTCCGAGAGGTGGTCAGAAGGGGGAGGGGGCTTTTCGCTGGGGCCCACCAAGGGCTTCGCTTTGATCTGCCGGTATTTGGTGCCTTTGCAGAAAAGAAACAAACAGATCCATTTCCCCTTCCTGGTGGCGACGTGCTGAACCTCTCCCCCCCCCCAATCTCTCTCTTCCCCTGCCATAAAAGGCTCCCTGAAGTCCGTCCAGCACCCAAAGACCACAAAGGAAGGGAGGGGGCTGCTTCTTCCGTACCTGGATGGGCGAGACGGCAGCTGCTGGAGCTGTCCTGGTGGGAATGCCGCTGAGGGGGCTCCGGGAGACCTTGTGGACAGGAACGCTTTGCCCCGGACCACCTGCGAGGGAAGAGAAAGCAGCCGGTTGGTCTTTGTGGAAGGGCAGAGGAACCGGCTGCTGGATCGGGTCAAAAGGGGACCCGCCAAGTCCAGCACCCGGTTCTCACTGTGGCTGACGAGGGGCTGGTGTTGGTTGCTGCCATCGCTGATGGCAAGTGAGGTCTAATGGAGAGTGAGGGCAGTGGGGTGATGTAAATGGACCTAAGAAGAGGCGGCCTTGCTGGACCAGGCCTAATGGGGTCCATCTAGGCTGGCAGCCTGCCCTCACTGTGGCCAACCAGAGCTAGGGCTACATGCTGCCATCGCTGATGGCAAGTGAGGTCTAATGGAGAGTGAGGGCAGCATGACATAAATGGCTGCAGGAAGAGCCTGGCTGCTGGATCAGGCCAAAGGAGGCCCCTTCTGGGCCAGCATCCAGCTCCCACGGTGGCTAACTGGATTTGGCTGCACGCTGCCATCACTGATGGCAAGTGAAGTCAAATGGCGAGTGAGGGCAGCAAGATATAAATGGACGCCAGATATAAATCAGGCCCAAGAGGGCCAATCTAGGCCAGTATCCTGCCCTCAATGTGGCCAACTAGGTGCCAGCTAGGCCTAGGGCTACATGCTGCCATCGCTGATGGTAAGTGAGGTCTAATGGAAGGCAGTGTGTTATAAATGGCTGCAGGAAGAGTCTGGCTGCTGGGTCAGGCCGAACGAGGCCTATCTGGGTCAGCATTCTGTCTTCACACAGGCCAATTAGGTGCCCCAAGCAGGACCAGAGTTCAAACAGCGCTCTGCCCGCTTGTGATTCCCAATTAGTGATATTCAGGGGCGTTCAGTGGCTAGTAGCCATCAACAGCCTTATCCTTAGGCATGGACTTGCCCAACCCCTTTTCAAGTCACCCCAACAGTCCTGTAATGCCCGACTGCAGGATTCCCAGAAGCAACTGGCTGTCCCCTGTTGGAAGCAGGGAAGCTGGTCTGATCCAGCGGCACTCCTTGTTTTCAGTCTAAAACGTAAAGTTTGACTTGGCATATATAGGAAGGGTTGCAGCTCAGCAGCAGAGCATCTGTTGGCATGGAGGTCCCGGGTTCCATCTACGGCATTGAAACAGCCGGGCTGCTGGATCAGGCCAAAGGGGGCCCCTCAAGTCCAGCACCCTGTTTACCCAGTGGCCAACCTGATGCCCATTATGGGAAGCCCACAAGTGCAACTGCAGGAGTCTCCCCTCCTGATTAGCCCTGCATTTTAATCGCCATTTTGCACTGTTTAAAAATGCCGTTTTGCCGCATGCATAGTGCTGCACAGAGTCCTGACATGTCAAGAGATGGTGCATGTATAAAGGCATTTGCAAACAAATCCAAAGAGGAAATACGAATGAGAGCTGGGTGGGGCGCAAGAAGACATTTTGTCAGAGAAATAAGAGACCCTCAGCTCCGTGGCATTTGGGGGTTTTTTACCTGGGCACCCCAAGTCGAACGACTTGATCAACGATTTGACGGTAGCCAGGGACTCGGGGGGCGTCGGCGACGCGCGGCTGACGGAGACCCCCTGCCAGCGGCTGGCAGGATCTGCCTCGACTGCGTCCATCACCTCAATGGTTGGCCTGGAAGGAAGAGATGAGAGGGAGGTGAGAGAGAGGAATCCTCTAGATCTGCTGGAGTCCCTGAGCGGAAACCCTGGTGGGGTGGGTGTGAAAAAGCACAGGCCCTGGGATTTTGCCTGCGTTTGTCTGCATTTTAAACTCCTTCCTGCCTCCTGGAATCATCGAGTTGTACAGTTGGGAGGGACCCCCAAAGGTCATCTAGCCCAACCCCCTCGCAATCCTGAAACGATGTGGGGAAACAAATGTGCAGCTGTCTTTAGAAAACTGCACGTCTCTGGATTTTGTGATGCAGTTCTTCAAATGGAACAAAATGGGGTAATGTGGGGAACCTTTGGCCCTCCAGATCTTGCTGAACTAGAACTCCCATCACTGACATTGGCCATGCTTGCTGGAGCTGCTGGGAGTCGCAGCGCAGCAACATCAGGGCGCCAAAGGTTCCCCACTCGTGTGTCCGGGTGAAAACAGCATACAAAAATGAATTACGTCAGGGGGGAATTGCTTGCAAAAACAAAAAGTGTCTATATTGGGAGAAATATTCCCTAAAAATGATGAAGGGTTTTCATGAGGATTTGGAAAACAACAAACAGCAAATGGGTGCAGGAGTGTGGCAGAATGAGCTGAAGGAGGAGAAAAGAGAGAGACCGAAATTGACAAGATTGGCCCATCCTTATACCAACACTGACCCACTGACAAAGATAATGTAAAAGCAATGCAGAATAATGAGGACAGAGATAAAGTAAAAGCGCTATAAAATAATGACAAGGGTGACAGAAATAATGTAAAAGCACTGTCGAATAAGGTTAAGGAGGACAGAGATAATGCAAAAGCTCAAGATTATCATCATTTCTTGCTGAATTTCCCCCCACAGCTTTATAATTTGTTGCTGGCAAAAGGAACATTGACTGCCAAATCAGGATTGAAGAACCACGGTCTACCTGCTTGATATGCAGTGGAAGAGAGTTCCAAAGGTTAGGAGGTGCCTGATTCCCACACTGTGGAGAATGGCCTTCCTGCTAAGAGGGCACCTGCAACTAGATCATGCATGACAGATGGCCGTCCAACCTCTGCTGGAAAACTTCCAAGGAAGGAGAGACCGCCATCTTCCAAGGGAGACCATTCCACAGTTGAACAGCTCTTACTGTCAGAAAGTTCTTCCTGCTGTTTAGCCAGAACTCCTTTCTTGTCACTTGGGTTTGGGTCCTCCCCTCCAAAGCGAGAAAACAAGATTGCTCCATATTCCAAGCGACAGCCCTTGAGATATCGGAAGGTGCATTTCATGCTATTTTCTAAGAGGTGCAGAGGACCAGCTGTTCTGTCCCCCTGTTCCCCAAACAACTTATCCAGGCTTAACATTAACGAGAAGTATAATTATTATGGTACCCCTTGAAAACCAACAAACTTAAGGTCTTTTGGAGTGGTCGATTTTTGAGACTCGTGGCTGCAGCGGTTGCTTCCCCATTAATAACGTTTTTAAATGTGACTCGCCACCTGCGATGCAATTTATGTGGATGCAGGAAAGGGGATATGATGACAACAGGCACACGAGACGGATGAAAGACCATCAGATTCTGCGCTGAATGAGCTTCTCTTTTCTCCTCGTGAGACCCATTCTCTCTCTTTCCCTCCCCCTGGCACCCAGTCCATTCCCAAACAGCTGCGTGGCTTTAGCTGGGCTATTAATAGGCACTGAATACTTTGGGATGGGTGGGGAGGTGTACATGGAGGGGGTTCTCTCTCTTCCACCCCCCTTTTGGCATCCCAGCCTTGTCTCGGCAGCACAAGAGCCCCTGGGAAGCGGGGGCAAGGAACGGCAGGCCGAGGTGGGGGGGTTTTGCTCACAGCTCAATGGAGGCACTGTCTGCGGGTGAACAGCGCCTGACCTGTCCCTTGCCAAGTGCCCGGATTTTGTGCCAAAGCTACGGGGAGGGCAGCGAGAGGGGCAAAAAGTCCCCTGGGGACTGATCGCCCTAGTCCTGGCCTGATCCAATACAGGGTGCGGAAAGAACAGAGTTTAGGAACAAGGGACATCCGCTAGGATTTTTTCAGTTTCGCTTTTTAGCAGACTGGAGTGGCGTGCTTCCGGCTCCTGCGTCCGAGGGGCAGCAGCTGGGCTGGGGTTTTGTTAACAGGGCACAAAAGGCCAAGCAGAGGCCAGATTCTGCAGGAGGGCAGCGGAGCAGGGGAATGAGGATGGGGGGTTCCAGCCAGCCTTCTGGCGGTTCCCTCGCTGTGAGAAGCCAAGTTACAGGGAACCAGGCAGAGGGCCTTCTCGGTGGTGGCGCCCGCCCTGTGGAACGCCCTCCCACCAAATGTCAAAGACTTTTAGAAGACATCTGAAGGCAGCCCTGTTTAGGGAAGCTTTTAATGTTTAATAGGTTATTGTATTTTAATATTCTGTTGGAAGCCACCCAGAGTGGCTGGGGAAACTCAGCCAGATGGGCAGGGTATAAATAAATTATTATTATTATTATTATATTATTATTATTATTATTATTACTACTACTACTACTACTACTACTATTATTATTATTATTGCCCCTTGGGGCTGTGCCCCCAGCCATTGGAGAAAGGGGCCTTAGGGGCAACAATGGCACAGGGTTTGCTCAGGTGGGGAATGCCAGAATTGTACCGTTGGGAGGGACCCAACGGATAATCCAGCCCGACCCCTTGTGATGATAAAATGAGGACAAAGTTGTTTTTAAGCATTTCCCGAGGAGGGCGGCCGGCTAAACACCAATCTGCTGAGATGGCCTTTGCTTTTCCAGACATTTTGGACTCCAGTCCCTATCAACCCCAGCTGACACAGCTCTGTTTCGGACGACACCTCCTATCACCCCCCAGCCCAAGTAGCCATGTCTGGACCTGGGGCGGGTAGGAGTTGTGGACCAAAATATCTGGAGCTCATCAAGTTGGAGACCCCAAAACCCTTCTACTGGGCATGAATGCACAGGTGGCTATTCCATATGCATACTGCAAAAAAAGAGCAGGCGCTCACACAGAACAGAAGCTTTTCTCCAGCAGATGTGACAAAAAGCCTGTCTATTCCAGGACCCAGTTTCCCCCAGTGCCTCCTGGAAAACACAGAGACATGGGACTTGGAAGCAAGGCCTGCCTCTGTCACCGTTGCTCCCCAGCCAATAGTCTTCAGAGGTAGACTGCCTCAGGAGCTGGAGGCTTCACGTAAACAGCGGTGCAGCCTTACCGCGCAGCTAGCCAGCATCACCTGTGTGGATGCGCTCACCAGGTAGAAATCTACACACGCACACACACGGGAGATCCGCTGTGATCACATCTACGTTTAAGGAAGGCGCAGCAGGTATTTTAAACCGACAAAGGTATAGAGAGAAGAGGCGGAGAAGGGCACCTGGCTGCCAGTCGCAGATTTATTTGCAGTTTTGTACACGTTTGTTGAAATATTAGTCTCCCTCCCTCTCTTACGCACAGACATACATACACGTGGCTCAGCAAATTGTCATTGTTACCCGGTTCAAGCATGTTTACAAGTATGGAAGTCAAGTGGTTTGATCACAGAGCATTCCCGAATTGCACACCAGTGTCTGCAGGTGGGATCTGCCCCACGGCGGGTGCACTTGTGGGTTTCCCCACCACCCATGAGAGGAGGTTGTGGGCCTCCAAGGCTTGACCTCAGTGCTTCTGATCGAGCGAAGTGTCTGAAGTTCGTATGTGTGGCACAATCTCAGCAGAGACCTGCTGGGATCCCAGTGTTCCTCTGCACCCCAAGGCCTTCTGCAAAGCTACGCAACGGCACGAGGGGTGCAAGGATGGAAGTTTCCCTCCCCTTGCTGTTATTGATCTGGAGTGTTTGCAACCCGCTCCTCAGCCCGAAAGCTGAGTGGCTTACATACAAATCAAGGTTGAGAGACGAGTCCCTGCCTGCAGGCGCACGGTCGCGGCACAAAAGGAAAATGTGACGGGAAGAGAAGAGGAAAGAAGAAGCGAATCTTCAAGTTAAACGGCACTTCTTAAAAGAAACCAGCTGGAAGGGAATTTCACAACATTCTACCTCCCGGGGACTTGTGAGAGGGGCTACAATGACAAGGCGGCGGGAGGAAACAAGCCAAGGACCCCTGGGAGGGGAAAGTAACGAGAGAAGATACTGTTCATCCATGCTCTTTCTTGCATCTCTGGGGCTGGAGGGCTAAATGGCTCCGATCCAGATTTGGCTCAGAGGCTGGCGGCGGCCGACCCTCAAAGTCTACTTGTGCAAATTTCTCAGCAACTGTTCTGCAAGAAGGCAGAGACAGGACATTTCAGGATGAGCGTCGGTCATGCCACAGACTTCCCCTGAGTAAAGATTCTGAGGAATAAAATAAAACAAAACGTGGACTTCTGATTGCCTTCACAAGGGATAGATGGGACCACCCTTTTGCCGGCTCAGTAGAGAGGACTCCCTGTAGGGTCGTGGGGTCCAGGGATCCACCAGCTTGGTGCTTTTGGTCTGGGGGGAAAAGGAGCCATTTCCCGGGCTGAAACGCCAGTGACGCAAGCCCAACGTTTTAAAAGCGTTCTTGTAATCCAAAAGGATGGCTTCAAGTTGGAGAGAGACCCACAGCTCCCCCCTGCAAGTCAGGAGAATTCCAAGCAGATTCCAAGTTTGCAACGGGGGGAGAAGTGGGGGCGCAGGAAGACAGCTCTGTAGTGCAGCTACCGAGGGCATCCTCGCTTGACCCTCACTGCCCTCTGCCCTTTCTTCTTTCCTGTCTTCAAATCTCAGGAGAAGCAGCAGTGAGTGGTCTGCAGAACGTAGGATGCAGAACAGCAAATGGGTTTCTGGGTTTCAAGTCGTGCACTGCCACCTAGTGGCTGGTCCCTGTCATTGGACATTGAGGAAGCATCCAGGCAGGTGAAGATGGCCGGGTGATGGATGGGCAACACTCAGCCCCACCGGACCGGACATTTGCTCCGTGCTCCGTGTGGACAGTTGCCGTGGCAAACCCGGAACAAAGAGGTACGTGCGGCGGCAGGTCGTTCTCAGCGGA